GTGACTGCGGTCCCCTGCGCAGCAGTGGTGGTGTGTGGAGGAGAGTGTTGACCCGCGGCGTGAGGGTGGGATCGTGCCTCCTTTTCTCTTTGTTCCTTCCCTTTTGTGAAGGTGTGCACTTATTTTTGGTGTCGGTGATGGGGCAAACAGACAGACACAGTGAATAAAGCAAAATAAAAAGGGCGATAGTGTGGCGGTGTTGGGGCTGGTTGCAGGCCTCGGCTGCTTCACCGACAGGCGTTGCAGCGCGGCTGCATTGCGCACCGACCACCCGCCGTGCGAGTGCCACGCCCAACGCCATTGGGACAGCGGGACGAAACAGCCGCGAGTGTCCTTTGGAGCCAGCGGCACCTGCAGGCCGCAGTTGGGCGGTGCGAGTGGGATGCTTCACCGCACGGGTGTTGTGATGGCACCTCGCCGTGGCTCTTGTGATGGTTCCGACGCTGCGGCTCGACATGTGGCGGGGAGTAAAGTGTGGCCGCAGTGGACCATGAGCAGCACCAACATGAGGCTGAGTGATTTCCTTTTGAATTAGGTTGGCGGCAGGGCGGCCGTTGATGAAAGACTACAACGTGACGATGGAGGTATTTGTTCAGGAGCCGGATGATTACGTACACGACCAGCGGCCTCTTGAAGAAATTCTTAACTTGACTGCGCACCAAGCGCTGGAGGCCATTACTAGGCCTCTTCACGAAGGTGTGCTCTCTCTCGGGCAACGTAGGGACTATGAAAGAAAGCATACGATCACTCCTGCTGCAAGGGGAAAACCAAACGGAGTACTCACGCAGGTACTGACAGAAGCGAGGCGGGAGGCAGAGGAAAGGCTAAGACGAACGCAATAAATGAAGTTTACCATTTGCACTAATATCGAAGAGGTACTGTTTAAGGGAAGAGCTCGCGTCAACGTAATGAAGCTGAACGACTTTCTTACGATGGAACCGGACGGCAGGGGCATTGTGGACACCAATCGGGATGTCATGCTGGAGGAGTTTTTCAGGGACCCCACGAAGTATATCCGTGATAAAGGAGCACTGAACGAGATACAGGCATCAGGTCATTGTTTGAGTATGAGGCGAGCTGTAAAGGGTGAAGTGGTCTTCGACGAGGATATATGCAGGCTATGCGATAAGGGTGTCGACAATCCACCGGGGCGGTCATTGGCTGCTGCGGAGGTAAAAGCAACTGTTCATAACTCCACTAAACATTTCTTGGATGCAGCTGCCGAGGAGGCGAGGAACCCAACGACGACGAGCGCACCGGAGAAACTGGAGGGAGTGTACGAGTCTGTGCACAATGCGGGGCGGAGCCATGCGGTGGAACTTCCGGACGGCGTGGAGCGAAAGAAAACGGGGACGGGAATGGGGGTGCGTGAGGGGAGGCCAGAACAGTCATGGTCGTACAGGGAAGCTGACGACGCTATCGAAGAGAATGATGCTGTGCAGCAATGTGGTGCAGCACCTCCCGTGTTGATGGTGCTTGCCTCGGAGAAGGGATGGCCGCACTCGTGGCATACGATACAGGATCTTCCCAAGGACGTTTTTGTGAACTGTGAGGTGGATCGAGTGTGGCAGATCGTCAAGGGCGATGTAACCGCGTGGCTCAGCCCTCACGGTGGGACCGACTTTGAGCCCAAGCGACGTGTGTTGATTGGGACGCCCGGGATCGGGAAGTCGGTGGCTGCCGGCTCGTACCTC